ACTGCTGGCTCATATTCAGCCAGCTGGCAATCAGAACACCCAGGTCCTTTTCCATGGGTGAGCTGGAGCAGGCTCGGTACAGGGGCGAAGCTCGGTCTGACATCCTCCCCCTCCCATCCACCACCTCCCAGAGGTGGGTGCCACAGCCCCACCAGCAGCAGCCAAGCTGTCCCTGGGGCTGCCACAGCAACACGATGAAAGTAAACCACTGTGCAAATTACCTGCACTTGTCGAGCTGCAGCATGGAAAGAGGGGAAAAAACCCACTTTATTTCCCAACTTGGCTCCTCAGTGGGTACTCCCCACCCCGTCATTTTGCTCACACCTCCATTCCGCTCGCTGCACACAGGGGATGGCTGTGAACTCAGCGGTTACGGTGGACAACAACTCATTGTAGCTTGTTCAAGTAGAAAACTAGTGCAATCTTTTCTTAAGCCATGTATTTCCCTAGCCCTTGGTTTTTTCCTACTTTTCAGTAGGAAAGTGCACTCTGCAAAAATTTCTTTCATTAAAAAAATCTTTGAAACTCATTCATCACTAGTGGATGCTTCCAAATTGTTTGTGTTCCATTTGTTTGCATTCCGATTGTTTGCATTCCGTTTTCCACAGCAAAACATTGCACAGCCCTGGGAAGGGCACGAGATGGGAACCCCGCGATGCTGTAGCTGCTGGTCTCAGAGAGGCTGACCTCCCTTCTGAGTCGCTGCCTCCAGAGCAGTAGCTCTGGGCTCCCTGACCACAGCTGCTAAGGAGTAAGAGAGCTCTTGGTGAAGGTCTGACAGCTCCTGGCTGGTCTTTGCACAGCACCCGATGTAGTCCTGCTTGTGTTTCCACATTATGATGATTTTTTTTTTCTATTTCAATTATTAAACTGTTTGTATCTCAATCCACGTTTTTCCACTTTGCCTCCCCATCCCAGCGGCAGATGGGGGAGCGGTGAGTGGACAGCCGTGTGACGTTTTTTTGCTGCCCGGGGTTAAGCTACGACACGGTTTTTTGACACCCAACATGGGACTTGCTAATCAGAGTGTGTTCAAACAAATTTCTTGTAAGCACTCATATTTATTGGTGTAGTAGTCACCGGTCACATTGTTGATCAATTTGCTCTTGGAGTTGCTACTCGAGCTGTGTGGTGTAAGGGCTGTTACTCCAGGTGTGCAGTGTAACACCGTGCCTTCGCTCTGTTCTGCTGGTTCTCAACTCTGCGTTCTGCATCAAGGCTTGGTTGGACTGGGCTGTGTGATACCGACCGTGGCTAATCAGGGATTTTGTAGCCATCATTAACGTCATCTCCATACTTCGGGTGCCATCTCCTGGAAATTCTTACTACTTACACTTTTAAGCTATTTTGTTAGGGAGGAGATCTCTTGCCACATCTTCCCCTTCTCCACCAGGCTAATTACTAGAGCATTTGAGAACTTGGAAAGTATTGAATAGCATTGATATGTTTCAATCACTGTGGTCCTGTTGTGGTTTTTACCTGGGAGGACTTGAGGAAGTGGGATGGAGAATCTACCTCGACCCCAGAGGCACGGATTGGGGAAGTGCAACGAGGTACAATTGCCAAGGGAGGTTCTTCCAAGGGAATTGCTGCTCCGCTCTCCAGTGGGCAGTTCCCCAGGCAGAGTGGAAGGGCTGATCTTACTTATTAAATTATGGAAAGGAATTCTAACCCATTTATACAAAATCACAGAATTGTTGAGGCTGGAAAAGCCCTCTGAGACCATCAAGTCCAGCCTGTGACCCAACACCCCCCCATGGGCCAGACCACGGCACACCCAGCCTCTCCTTAACCCCCCCAGGGACGGGGACTCCCCCTGCCCTGGGCAGAGCATCCCAGTGCCTGAGCACCCTCTCCGGGAGGAAGGGCTGCCTGAGACCCAACCCCAACCTCCCCTGACGCAGTTTCAGGCCGGGCCCTCTCGTCCTGTCACTGGGTGCCCGGGAGCAGAGCCCGACCCCCACCTGACTGCACCCTCCCTTCAGGGAGTTGTAGAAGTGAGTAGAGAATGCTCTGAGCAGTGCTAGAGGAGCCCTGCCTCCAGCCAGGCGGAGGAGAGGGACAGTTGGGTTTATTGGTCTGTGCGGATCCCGTGGCCTGGCACGTCAGCCCCACAGGAGTATCAGGTTCTCAAAGGCACCGGTGCACAATGTACTCTAAAGTCATCAAGCTGTGAAGGGGCAGAACCCATCCGTGTTTCTGGGGTGGCAGGGGCATCCCAACAGCTGAGCCTATCGGAGCCTGACTGGGAATGAGTGGCATAACCACCCTCCGTGACTGGCCCAGAGGCTCCGTGCATCCTTGGCATAAACTGCCTCAGGAGCAGATATTTCAAGGACCCAAAGGGGACCGGTGGGCATTTGGTACAGCTGCTGTGGTGACAGAAGAGAACAGCTGACTACTTTGCCCGGTCTCTCTGAGACCCTTCGGTGGTGGGGCTGCAGAGGGTTGAAAAACAAGAGGTGTCAGTCACGACTGCTGCGGCGCCCCGGCAGCCGTATCACACCAGCTCCCCGATTCCCATCCAGAAGCTGGATTTGCTCAGCAAAGCTCGCTCACCCTTTAACAGCCCCACATGGATGGTGGGGAAGGCTAACAGGGAGTGGAGACTAAGAGCAAGCTATCGTGGCCTGAACAAGGTCGTACCACTGCCATGCTCTTGTGCCAGTCATGCTAGAAGTTCAGCATGAACTGGAGTCAAAGATGGACAAGGGCTACGCCACGGTCAGGGTGCTTTCCTGAGTCCCTGCGGCAGCAGAGTGCAGGGCACAGTTTGCTTTCCCTCAGAGGGGCATCCGGTACACCTGGGCTTGACTGTCCCAGTGGTGGAAATGCCATCCCACCAGCTGCCATGGCCTGATCCAGACTGCCCAGGAGAAGGGTGGAGCTCCAGAACACCTCCAGTACATCGGTGACATCATCGTATGGCATGGGGCAACACAACCAAAGAAGTTTTTGAGAAAAAATCCTCCTGGAAAACAGATCTTTGTCATAAACTGAAGTAAGGATAAGGGACTTCCATGGAAAGAGCGACACACTTCACTCATAAGACAAAAGTAGCAACATATTTATTGATATAAAATAGCAATTAAAAACAGTTTTCTCAAAAATTATCATAAATGCAACAGTGGTTTAATAAATTCAATAGCAAGACACAATTTGTTTCCAGGTTCAGGATGGCAGTTGGGCACTAGCCCTACACACTGTGTATCTGGATGACTCGCAATGCACCAACCACTCCCCTCTGTGGCCAGTCCTACACACTCAGTCCTGCGAGATTACTTTGGACGGTGTCCTGAGTCTGAGGGAGTGGTTCTGCGCTGCAGATCTGCTGCTCCAAGGAAGGCTGGCTCTGAGGGAGCTTTTGGTGGGCTCCATTTCTACCTGGAGTCACGTTGGGGGTCGTGGTCATGTACAGCTTTAATGGGTTGATGGGGTCTCCTAGGTAGGCTGAAGTGGTCTTTGGGGGGCTCAGGTATCCAGGATAAGTGACAGGGGCTCTCCGTGTATGTGACCTGCAGCACACGTGCCCTGCCACACAGGCTCTGCTGGGTTAATTCAATTTTTATCCATCCATCCTTCCATCCATCCATCCATCCATCCATCCATCCATCCATCTTCACATTTCTCCTATATCTAACTGGAAGACCCACAAACTGATGAGTTTAACCCCTACTATAGCTAAAAAAGATAAGACTTTCACTGTGTGTTCCCTCATGGCTGGTTCATGAGTAGGGAGATGTTATGATCTTCTCAGCTGATCATTGCAGTGTTTTGGAGAAATAAGCGTATTGAAAAAATAAAACCAGACAAAGTCTTTGCAGAAACTGAGAGGAACAGCCCAATGTGACAGGCTGTGTGGAGACTGATGAGGCACGCTGTGATGGCGTGCTTTGGCAAAGGAAGAAATTTTACCAGCTCATCAGGTTCATCCTCCTTTTCCAGGCCTACGACTGACCCCATCCACACAAGTCAGCACCAGTTTTGTCCCAATCCTGCTTCTGCGGGAGAACCTGCAGTGAACACCGCACTCTGAACTTTTACCTTACGTTGGAATGCCTTTCTTGATCCAAGCTCCCTGCCATCGTTCACCGATTTGGTTCCTACCAAGGCCTTTTGCTGCACACTGGTCCTGCTACCTCAGGTCATCGCTCCTGGTGGATCTGGGTGTCGAATGCAATGGCTGTCTCTCAGGAGACTGGTGGTCCAGAGATATTAGTGCCAAGTTGAAGTTCAGAGACTGATCCAGCTTCCGGGTCTCTGCCTCCAGAACAGCAGCTCTGGGCTCCCTGACCACAGCCGCTAAGGAGTAAGAGAGCTCTTGGTGAAGGTCTGACAGCTCCTGGCTGGTCTTCGCACAGCACTCGATGTAGTCCTGCTTGTGTTTCCGTTCCTGTGCCAGCTGCGTCTCCAGGACCGACACCTGAAAGAGGCAGAGGCCAAGCTCAGACAAGCCCACGCTCTCAGGACCATCTGTAGCTCCACGGGGGCGGCTGTCAGGGAAGATGCACCCCCTAACTCCAGCCCTGACAAACACTTTGTCCTTTTGGAATGAGAAGTGACAGATTCCCAGACACACCTCGAATCCAGCTCTGATTATCGAAAATTCCAGGCTTTTTTCTGGCATAGCATTGTACGTGTGCAACACCAAGACATCATATGTATACTGAGAGAGAGATTCCTACAGGGTTTAGTAACTCAACTCTTTTTTTCAGAAGAGTGATTTGGGCTACTGGCACCTTACTTCCACATGCTTTTCCTCAGCAGGAGGACTACTGGTTACACAAGGTAGTGAAGAAATCTGTTGTGATCTAGTTTAAAAACTTGACAGCTAGCACACGAAAAGGGTGCGAACTCTCATTTTTCCTAACTTTAGAGCATTTCAGAAATGAGCAGAGTATAATTTGTTGAACTAAGTCTGCGGGGAAAGGACTGCTGAAGCCTTGAAAATCCTCAGACTCAGACAATCCTCAAACACAGGGTTGTGCCTGCTGGATTTCCTGGTGGGAGAGGCCCAGCTGCTCTCACCTCCTGTGAGGTTTGCAGTGCAGTGCAGCCACAGCAGCTCTGGCGTGTTGGCCTCCACCCGCTTCAGAGCGGAGGAGATGCCCAGAGAAAGTCAGACCTCAAAGGGGCTTCACAGCAAACAACAGGCATGGGCCAGGGTCACCACTGCTGAGGAGAGGGAGCAGTCTGACCTTCTCTCTGGAATAATAAGGGCACCTTTGTGAATCTGGGCTTGAAAGCCTGAAAATCCCTCCCATGCTTGGTCAGGGAGCCCAGAGGTATGAGTGGGAGAAGTGGCCATCGGCTGCTAAGAGCACCTCCCAGGAAGCAGGAGATCGAGTTCCAGCTCCACTGTTTCCCAGAGCGAGAGGAGTGCCCCAATTAGCCAGCTGAGGACAATTCTGTGAGTAGAGCACCTTCATTCACCAGCTGAACTGCTGAAATAGGTCCACAGTGCAGGGCAGACACAGCAGTCACAAGGGGAACGGGGTTCAGTGAGTTACCTGTAGCAACAGCACTTCAGAAGCTGAGGCTTCCTGGTGAAAGCATCCCTAAGATACAACGTGATGGTTTCAGCAGTATTCTCACCTCACTGGGCAGAGCTAAGCATCCTTCTCAGGGATGACCAGGGTGTAGCAGACCCATGAAAGTACATGGGAGAGAAGTCTGGTGACTGCTTCTACTGTCAGTACCACTGTCACGGGACGCAAGAGGGCTCAGCAGCCGGGATGTACATCCTTACACTGATAACACCAGTGTCCATACAGTGCTCAGGTCTCCAACTCAGCCTGATAATGGGATCATAATTAACACAGAAGAGCAAGAAGAGATGAGCAATTTCCTGAAGGCTATAAGCTCTGGCACTGCCTCAGGTCCCTGGAGCGCTCACAGGGTACAAGCTTCACCATTAATCAAGCCAAGGAAAAAGAGCCAATAAGATGAGTTAGACTCAAGGGGAATATCCTTAGAACATTCTCAACTTTCAGGTGAGTCCCAACTTTTAAGAATTTTGTCCAATCTCTATCCCAGCTGGCCTGACCTTTAGACGGGTCAGAGACTAGTCCTGGGTGAATGATGTTTGACCATGGCCAACAGATGTGTCTGTCTGGGTATTTCCACCACCTGGTGTATTTGCTTCCTGACAGCCAAACAGAACTTGGGCTGTAGTGTTGTGCAAAGTTGTGCCCATCAGCACAGGCACAGCAGCTTTTGATGAGAGTTCTACTCACCTGATTCTGCAACTCAGATAATCGACTGCAGCAAGTGTGAGACTCCTCCTGTGAAGAAAACGCAAGGATTTTAGTCTCCATTTAGGCCAGGGCCACGGTCTATATTTGACTTCTATCAGGTCTATACTGGGGGGCTGCTGCCACTGGGATTTGCCATTGTTCTTCTGTATGGCCAGAGCCTCCTCCTTCAAGTAAGATTCTGTTCTCACCTGTCTAGAAGCAGGCATCTTGTGCTGGTCAGGGAGAGAAGATCCACGTGTATCTGGCAGCAACCTCTTCAGTCTCCTCCGTTCACGTTCCACCTGCATGTTGGATAGGAGAAAGGGTCAGAGAAACCTGCCACCGAACAAGGAGCAAAAGGACCTCTGGGCTTCATGGCAAGGAGATTTCTGCTCAGACTGTTAATAGCACCAGAGAATATTGGGGCTGAAAAGTTCTTGATGTTGAGTATGGAGGAGACAGAGCAAGAGCAAACAGTTCCTGATACAAGAGCGTCAAATGGAGACAAAAGGAGCGTGCATGGGGACACTGAGGCAAGAAGGGTGGTACAGGAACGAATGTGCATTTGTGAAGGCAGAGGGGTGCCAGAAGAGAGAAAATCCAAGTGTGTCCACAGGGAAAAGTGGGAGAGGGAAGGAAATGAGCAGAGGACTCTGAAGTGCTGCCTATGCAAGTGCGTTGTGTTCCAGAGGACTGAGTGTTTGCGGTGGCAGTGAAAGCCTGTTTTACCTGCTCAAGAGTCCTCCTGAGCTCAGCATTGAGTTGCTTCAGCTCCGTCCTCTCAAGTTCCATCCTTGCAACTGCTCGCTGCAGACATTCCAGCTGCTGCAGCAGGACTCTCTTCTCTGAGAGCCAGGGTAGCTGCTCCCCTTCTGCAATAGCCTGCTGGGTGTACAGAGAAGAGGTGATGTGAGCTGGTGCCACGTAAACGTTAGAAGGGCCGGAATCAACTCATCAGAGTGATCGGACTCAGGAATGGACAGTGCCAAGTTCCTTCTCCTCCTCCTGGTCCACAGGCCAAACCAATACACTCTCTTCGCAGGGGCCCTCCTCCCGGACACCTTGCAGAAAGGGAGTTGTTTGTTCTGGACATGCTTTCTGCTAGTTTTGTTCAGTGTCCCCCATTCTGGTTTTTAAAAAGACTAGAAACCTTCATTTCCTATTCGGCCACTTAATGGTTTTATAAAGGTCTGTAGCAATTCCAGCTCCCTCCCTCCCAGCCACTTCTCGTCCATCATGAAGACTGCCACACTGCCATGTTCCTCTCAGGGAAGCTCGCTAACATCTTTGGTCATCCTCCTCGACCTTCACTGTACACTTCCCTGTCTGTAGTCCTACTCTGTGTCCTTGGGCAACCAAACAACAGGCAAGGTGAGGTGAAAAAAAACCCCATTAACAACCAAGCCCTGTGCGTTGCTATGAAGCTCGTCAAGAGCCACCTCCCCTCTCACGGGCTTCTTGATGAACTGCTCCTTGAAGCAATCTCTGACAGCATGTGTAAGTGCACTCGTGGTACCAGCACCATAACTGATCTACCTGGATGCTGCCGCGTTACCTCACCTAATGCTGGTGCACACCTGATGGATGTGGATGTACTGAAATCTCCCACTGTTTTATTGTTTCCTGCCCTTGTCACTTCTCTGCTTCCCACCAACAGAGCACAATACCTGTCACCATCCTCCTGACCGGGCTGGTAGTAATGTCTCACAAGTAACGTATAACGCATAAATACAGTATTTTATTAGTAGCGGTTTTTTATACGCCTGTGTACTACCATAATGCTAAGAGTTTTGACAGTGTCCCAGGTGAGTTTGCAGCACAGGCAGTTGCAGCTGACGCAGCGGCAGCACCCGAGTCAGACCCTCACACGAACACACGTTCACACTTTTCAGACCGCGGCACAAAGGTGCAAGGAAGCCTTTAACCTGGTTGGGCAACGGTACAAATTCCACTCAGAATAATACACCAGAAGGGCTGTACCTCGGACATCCACTTCTCTGAAAGCATCCTCGGAGCACCACCAGCGCAGCTGCTGTTCAGCCATCACTATAAAATTCTACTAAGTTTAGGGCACTGGTTTGGCCAGCTGTGCCCTCTCCTTTCTGTGCCTAACCATGATCTGTTGGATAAGCTTGCCTAGATAGGAGAGAACCAGTTACCCACGCCCAGCTTTTGGACTTAAGTTAACCACAAGCTCTGTAGTGCTTTCTGTAGTGCTGGGCTTGACAGAAAACATTCCAGCAGGTGACTGGTCTCTGGCCAGAGCTACACAGACAGGGAAGCCTGCTGAGCAAAATCAGAGTTTCTTTGGCCAAGCAGGTCCTGTATTTATGGGAACAGAAATTCCCGAATCTTTATGGGAAACATCATTAGAATCCTTTCTAGATATTTTAGTTGAGTGATGATTAATCACAGAGCCTACCTGCAGCTGAAACCGGTCCTTGTCCCTCTCTGACACCATGCTCTGCAGGATGGCTATTTCTTCCCTCAGAGTCCCGTTGGCCATTTCACTCTTGGTGAGGGCAAGAGTCAGGGTTTGTGCCTTCTCTTTCCACTCAATTTCTCCGCTTTCAGTCTGCTTCAAAACAGCAATCACACGCTCCAACTATTCTCATCTTCCAGTTGTTGGGTGAGCTCCTTCTGCCTTTGCAAGAGACAGTCTCTCTCCTGGAGAACTCTCCTCTTCTCTGCTTCCTCTTCCTCCCACTTTTGGAGTTTCTGGATCTGCTTCTTTAGGGTCTCTTCTTCATCTTTCCACCGCAAAGCTGATGTTACTTGTTTTAGGAGTTCTCTCTGCCTCCTAAGCTCTTGTTCTCTCCCTGTCAAAGCCTTCTCTAAATACCCGACCTGGTCTCTCTGGTACTTGATCTCTTCATCCTTCTTTGTCAGAGTCTGCCGAACATGCTGGAGATCTTCCCGCAGACCTCTTATCTCCTCTTCAAACTGCTTTTGCTCACGTCGAGCCTTGGTCTCTCGTTCCCTCTCAGGCAAGGCTTCTTTCAGGAGCATCTCTCGCTCTCCGTGATGTCCAGCCTCTTCATTCTTCTTAGTTAGCCTAAGAGGGAGATTCTGCAAGCTCTTAAGTTCTTCCTCCTGGCGATGGAGCTTTTCCATGAGCATTTCATTGTCTTCCTCTCTCTTCCTCATGGCTTCCTCAAGCAGACCCACTTGCTTCTGGCATGATGTCAGTGCTACTTTCATGTTTTCTTCACGAAGCTGGAACACGTTCATTTGCTCTGTGTGCTTGAGGAACTCCAGATGGTTCTTCTTCACTGTTTGGCTCATTTCATCTAGATCCTGCTGTAGACGCTTGGCCTGCTTACCTTCTAACTCCTTCTGCTCTCGAAGGTCCTGGACATGCTCTTGCAAAGACGCTATCTCTTGATCTCTAGCTTCTAGAGAAGATTTGGAGTACTCTAGTTTTTGCAGTATAGCTTTAGTCTGCATCACTGCCTCCTCCTTCTGCTGCTGAAGCTTAGAGACAGCCTCCTCCAGAACCTCTATCTTTTCTTCTTTTTCTTTCAGAGTCTGATTTGTTGCTTGAAAATGTGTTCGCTCAGCTTCGTGCTTCTCCTCCTTCTCCTTGCATGCCTCACATTGCTTTCTAAGGGACAAAATTTCTTGCTCTTGATCTTTTAGCGCCACTTGTAGGATTTCCTTCTGCTGTTCAGAGTCTTGTGCTTGTTTTTGAAAGGTCTCAATCACTTCCTTCTGAGATTCAATCATAAAATCCTTCTCTTTCAGTATTGCCTTAGTGTATTCTAAGTCTTTATGTAAGACACTCATCCGCTGTTCTGTTTGTTCCTCAAAGTCTGGTGTTTGTTGCTTCTGGATGTCTATGAGTCTGTCCTTTTCTTTTAAGGTTTCTAAAGTCTGCTCCAGTTGGTCATGGACAGCCTTTAACTGCATTGCCATGACTTCTTCAGCTTCCTGCATTTGCTTTTGTTGTGATTCAAGCTCTTGATCTTTCTTAGATAAAGAAAGTGTCAACTTTTCTACTTTACCATGGAGTTCTTGCAGGTACCCCTCTTGCTGTTCCTTGCATTGCTCTAAGAGTCTTAACCGATCCCTTTGAGAATCACACTCACTTTCTCTGTCCTTAAGAACTGCCCTCAGATGTTCAAGGCTGGCGTGCAGAGATTTCACCTGTTCTCTCTCCTTTTCCAGTTCTTGGACCTGCTGAGTCAGAGACATAAGCTCTAGGTTTTTCCCGTTCAAGTTGCCTTTCATATGATCAAGATCCACCTGCAGATTTTTTACCTGTGATGTATGGTGTTTTTCTAAAATAATTACTTTCCCCTCCTGGAATTTGATCTCCTGGTCCTTCTCTTCCAGCTCTTTGCTCACCTTGCTGAGAGCAGCCCTCTGCACTTCCTGCTGCTTCTCCAGCTCCTCTATGTGTTCTTGCTGGGATCTGATCTCCTGTTTTTTCTCCTCCAGCTCTTTGCTCACCTTGCTGAGAGCAGCTCTCTGCACTTCCTGCTGCTTCTCCAGCTCCTCCATCTGTTCTTGCTGGGATTTCATCTCCTGGTCCCTTTCTTCCAGCTCTTTGCTCACCTTGCTGAGAGCAGCTCTCTGCACTTCCTGCTGCTTCTCCAGCTCCTCCATCTGTTCTTGCTGGGATTTCATCTCCTGGTCCCTTTCTTCCAGCTCTTTGCTCACCTTGCTGAGAGCAGCTCTCTGCACTTCCTGCTGCTTCTCCAGCTCCTCCATCTGTTCTTGCTGGGATTTCATCTCCTGGTCCCTTTCTTCCAGCTCTTTGCTCACCTTGCTGACAGCAGCCCTCTGCACTTCTCGCTCCTTCTCCAGCTCTGCTATGTGTTCCTGCTGGGATTTGATCTTCTGGTCCCTCTCTTCCAGCTCCTTGCTCACCTTGCTGAGAGAAGCCCCTTGCATTTCTTGCTGCTTCTCCAGCTCCTCTATGTGTTCTTGCTGGGATCTGATCTCCCATTTTTTCTCCCCCAGCTCCTTGCTCATCTTGCTGAGAGCAGCCCTCTGCACTTCTCGCTGCTTCTCCAGCTCCTCCATCTGTACTTGCTGGGATCTGATCTCCTGGTCTTTCTCTTCCAGCTCTTTGCTCACCTTGCTGAGAGCAGCCCTCTGCACTTCTCGCTGCTTCTCCAGCTCTGCTATGTGTTCCTGCTGGGATTTGATCTCCTGGTCCCTTTCTTCCAGCTCTTTGCTTATCTTGCTGAGAGCAGTCTTCTGTACGTCCTGCTGCTTCTCCAGCTGCTCTATGTGTTCTTGTTGGGATCTGATCTCCTGTTTTTTCTCCTCCAGCTCTTTGCTCACCTTGCTGACAGCAGTCCTCTGCACTTCTCGCTGCTTCTCCAGCTCCCGTATCTGTTCTTGCTGGGATCTGATCTCCTGGTCTTTTTCTTCCAGCTCTTTGCTCATCTTGCTGACAGCAGTCCTTTGTTTCTCTAGGTCTTTCTCCAGCTCCTGTATGTTTTTTTGCTGGGATTCTGTCTTGTGTTTTTTCTCTGCTATGTCTTTAATAACCTGATCAAGAGTAGTTTTATGCATTTCTTTCTGCTTTTCCAGCATTCTTGTCTGTTCCTTGTAGAACTTCATTTCTCCCTCCCGCTCCGACAGGGTGGCAGTCATACGAGTGAGAGTCTCCTGCAAAGCTTTTGCCTCTGCTGCTTCTTTCTGTAGTATCTGGATTTTCTCCAGATGCATTTCCACTTCCTCATTTTTAATTTTTAAGATAGATAGTGTAGTTTGGAGTTCTTGTTCAAGGGAGTGATTCATATTTGTTGCTGTATTTGCTCGGGTTTCAGAGGCTGTGACTGATTCCTGAAGAAGTTTTACCTCACATTCCAGTTTTTCTTTAAGTTCTTGCAGTCTGTCCCGTTCATGCTGCAAAATAAGGAGGAAAAAAAATCATTAATTCCATTTATATATGTTTGGTTTTCATACTAGATTTCAGCTTCTCCAGTGGCAGTCAAGGGCTGAAGTTTGAGGTTTAGTGGAAAATTCAAGCTATTCAGTTGTTCTCCCTGTTTGATATCATTTCTCTACTGTCACTCAAAAAGATTTGAGAACTTTACTGGATTTATCAAACTCTGTCATAACTTACTTTTGGATAGATTTCAACTTCTTCAGTGGCAGTCAAAGGCTGAAGTTTGAGCTCATAAATTCAAGCTATTCAGTTGTTCTCCCTGTTTGATATCATTTCTCTACTGTCACTCAAAAAGATTTGAGAACTTTACTGGATTTATCAAACTCTGTCATAACTTACTTTTGGAGTCATTATAAATGGGAAAGTGGGGAAATATTGATTATGTAAGAACAGCCACACTGGCTCCAATGTCTGGGCCAGTATCCCGTATGTAACGTTGCCTGTAAGTGCTGAGCAGAGAAGAAAGCCCAAGGGTGCAGGTCTGATACTTTTCCCCCCCAGTCCCAGCTTGTGAGAGCTTTCAGAGTCTCGCCCTGATCCCACAAAGACCTGCTGCCCCATCAACACCCTTTGTCAAGGAGTTCAACAGCCTGGCCGGCGGTAAGCACAGCACCTCTGCTCGCGGCCTGGCTCTTGCTTCAGGTGGCTTTTGTTGAACTCTTGGATAAGGAGAGCCAGTGGCTGCTGCCCCACCTCTCGGGATGCTGCAAACCCTTCCTGCACCACTGCTTTACGTGTCAGCTTTCCCAGCTTACTCAGCCAGTCCCAGCTTCCTTTATTGCCATTCGCTGAACCTCCTCTAGCCCTAATGTGTTCTTTTATGGAGGAGCTGCCAGAGCTGCAGCCAGGATTGAAAGTCCGGACTAAGCACAATTTAGGCAGTGACATGATGACATTCTCTATGAGGAAGGCAAGATGGAATACTCCATTTACAATTATTTTTTTGGGAATGTTCATGGTACCGTCCTCTAGAAGCCCACTGTGCCCTCTTGGAGGAGTAGTGGTCAGATCACAGTCTCTCATTCCGTGCTGCAAATCAGAACCAGTTTTCCCCTTGCACATATATATATTTAGCTAGACCAGCACTTTCGTTTCTCAAATGTCTCTATTTTTTCCCCCCATCTGTTTTCACATAGGCAATGCTGAACAGCTTTCTATTATTAGTAAACTTTGTCTTTTCAGCCCTTTTTCCAGATTGAGCTATTTAGAAGTCTAAATATGGCTTTGGACACAAATAATTGCCCATATAACATAATGTAAATAGAGACAAGTTTGAGAATTATTTTGACTTAAGCTTCGAGGGCAGAAGTTTTCAAAATTCAGGAAAATAAACACTCTAAATCATAACTGAGTTTATACGATTACAGCACTTTTTCCTGCTTATTCAGAAGAATGCAGTTGGAAAAGGTAAACTGAAAACCAGCCCCTAGTATAAACAATATTCTTTTGCTCTTGTAATGGTCTGTGGTTTCTCCACACAATCTCTGATACTGGCCATCTTAACGACCTCTCCTTTCTGGACTGTCTTTTCGCACCCAAGGGGATGACCCCACTAATTCAGCTACATGGCCTGGCAGGAAAGCAAAAGTCTGGGAAACAAGAAACGACGAGTGGCAGGAAGGGGAAAATGAGAGAAACTTGGTCAGCATTTGCTACTCTGTATCCTCCCAGGTTCAGACTCAACCTGTACAAGACCACTCAAAATCAGCTCTCCAGTGTAAAAAGTTTTCCCTTAGAATTACTAACAGAAGGTCAAAAAAATATGTAAGAAATGGCCTTTCAGGGCATATGCTAGCCTCACCAGGACATCCTTTCTTTGCTTCTCAGTGCTCTCGAGCTTCCTTTCCAAAGACGCCACCTCTTGATGTAGAGTCACAGTCTCCTCTTTCAGAGCAGCAGCTTCTTCCTGCAAGGCAGCTTGTAAAGAGTTCTTCTTGCATTCTGCCATATGTGTCTCTGTGGCAGTAAAGGTAAAGAAGAAGGTGAAAAGCAAAGCAAAACCAAACTGATTTGCATCCTACGGAGAAAACACTATTTTCTTATCTGCCTGCCTGTGTTTTCCCGGCCCTAAACCCTGATGCACTTTCAAAGCAGACATAAACAAAGGAAACTTCCAGGCAGAGAAAAAAAGGAGACTAGAATTGGCAAGGTTCAGAATAATATGACAATATGTTTGCTCTTTTGCCTGTTGACAGGTCAGGGCTAAGGGCATGGCAGCATATCACCTACAGCGTTAGAAGCGGTTACAGCCAACGTCAATGAAACCACGACAGAGACAGCAGGTGAGCATCAGCTCTAGTGTCCTGAAAGAAAAGGAAGATGAAGCAAGAGTGAAGACTGACTAGGACATACTTAATTGACCAGGCAGACTTAAGAGATGCTAGAGAAAAGAAACAGATGTCAACACTGTGCTTGAAAATGTCCTTTCGCTATTTGTCCAGAAGAATGCTAGGGGAATACGTTGTGCGCTGGTAGGAAAAAAAAAAAGAAGAAAGGAAATATTCCGTGATACTCGGACAACAGCAAGGCAAGAACAATTGAGCATCACACCAGTACCATGACCTGAAGCAAGGACTACACAGGGACAGGAACTAAACCTAAACTAACAGACAGGAACTAAAGACGAAAAGAACTGACTAGTGGGACAAGCAGGATTCATGCAATGGCAGAATTTTACGTACGTAAGCTGTTATCATATGTAACTTATGTAGTAAAAACTATGGATATTTCAGAAACAGTGATGATCTAAGGCCTGGAAAATTCTCCTTTAAAGAGTCTGGAAAATCAGCAGCAGTTCCATCTCAGAGGGGGAATGCGAAGAAATACTGAAGAGGTAAAGGCACTGCGCAACCAGGCAAGAGCCTGTGGGGAGGCAACGAGCCCACACTTTCCCGTTCCTGGGGTCTGAGACAGGAAAACAAGACAATGAGATGAAAAAGCAATTCTGATGTAGAGAGTGGGAAAACAATGACAGAGAAAGCAGCAGGGATGCCTGTCCAGCTATGATAGAGAGAGGCCAACAGCCAGCCCTGAAGGCTCTGGGATGGCCTGGAGATAAGAGGAAGAGGTGACTAGTTACAGGTGAAAACCAGTTCTCAGATAAGCCCAACATGCGCATATCACCAAAGGCTAGGAAGAAGTGGTTAGGAAAATGTAAAATTGTGCTTACTATGGCTGTGTGCTCAGACAGCAAATCAGTATCAGCAAGAAAACACGTAAAAAGGATGCAGAAGGACTAGGAAAAGCAGCAGAAGAAATGATGCAATAACACTGGAGCTTAACACTGAACTAATGCTCTGTGAATGGGCCATGTGAGAGGAAAAGGCAGTCAGTAAGGACAAGGCTTTTTGCAGGTCGGTGCTTTTGAAGAGCATACGGAGAAGGATGACGTGTGACCCGGAAGGCATCACCTCTGCGTATCACCACCCCTGGCACAGGTAGGTGCCCTGCCAGGCACTGGATCTTTCTCTAGAGAAAGCTTGCGCTGGTAGTTCTATAGACAAGTCTCATGCTTGTTGGGTTTTCGTGCCTTCCCACTGGGCGCTGCACCTTTCCTGTGTGTGGTATCAGAGATCCCTGCTGGTGAGACAGGATGGAGTCAGTGGGTTGGAAAGGAGAAGCTTGTACCTTCCTGGCTTTGAGCCAACCGTTTCTGCAGCTCTTGATTGTGGGCACTGAAACGGTCCCGCTCAGCTTGCTTCTTGCTCAGCTCCAGCTCCGAGTCCTGGATCTTCTTCCTCGCATCATTCTGGAATAGGTAAGAAGAGAAGCATCACCTCACAGAGCTGCTGCTGGCAGGAGACAAAGAGGTACAAACACCAGGCAAAACCAGCCAAGGCAGGAGGGGGCAGCTGGGCAGTAACGGTAGATGTGATTCTCCTTTCTCCCCAGGGCAGCAAGCCAACCTGGCCTACAAGAATTTACGCCCTTTCTGGATTTGGTACTTTGTCAGTTCAGCGCAGCAGAGGGACAGGATTTCTGGGTGCACTAGACACACATTACCAGAGCTTGCCGAGTCTGCTTCAGGTGCTGACGCAGGTCTTCTAGGGCTGCTGATGCTCTGTCCGCTGTGAGCTCCGCAGGGAGATCCCTGGCCTGATGAACAGTTAGGCCCCCGCCACCACCCTGTTCTGAAGAGAGAAGCCATTCTGTTTCAAGCTTTAATTGAAGGATCTCCAACAAACCAGGCCTCTTAACACACAGGAGAAGCTGGCAGTGCCTTTGACACTGTCCCAGGGCTCAGGCTATGGCACGACACGTGTCACAGGCTCACAGTATTTTGATGACCACTAACACCAGTGCTGTCCCAAGGAAGAATGCACATGCCCTATGGCTCGACATGACCCGGGGCCCATTTCATTTTGATGCTGATCATTTCTCCACATACGTGGACTTGTCTCTCTGCAGGGATGTCAAGCTTTTGAGACTTCCCAAGGCTGGAGTCAGCCTTAAGTGAAAGGATGAGACTATCATATCAGGGTTACAAAGAGCCATCCCTCCCTCCCTTTCCTCTCCTCTGAGATTTGTTAACCCCACACGTGCCTGAACTCCAGGTGACCACATCTCTGCTGTCACAGAACATGCGGTGGAGAACCAGGTACAGTTTGTCCAGCTGGGCCTGGGCTTCACAGCGGGCACCATTCGCCTGCTCACACTCAGTGGCCAACGCCTTCGCTCTGTTCTCTGCGCTGCAAAGCCTCAAACGCAGCTCAGACATCTCAGCCTCCAGCGTGCTCAAAGAGTCCCTCAAGCACCGTTCGCCTGCTCGGGACTCCTCCAGATCCTGTAGCAGCTGCTTCACTCGGGTTGCCAGGCCAGCCTCCTTCTCCAGCAGCGCTCCCTGCAGTGCCTCTACCTGTAACACAGATGCACAGAGCCTCAGGGACAGAGCTGCTACCGAGGCAGCAGAGCAGGAAGCACAGGAAAGAATGAAGGAGAAATTACTTCAGGCAAAAAAGACATTGGCAAAAGTAGGCATGAAGCTAATGATTCAAACTTAAATAAATTTTTAAGCAAAATAAGCTACAAACAGGTATCTGGAGGCTAAGAGGCCAAAAGGAAGTTTCCCCATCCACAAAGGAATGGTCGAACTGTCAGGTTTTCACATTTTCCAGCCTCAGAAATGAAGCTCTATGTGTGTGCATGTGTGTGCATGGGTGAGAGGTGAGAGCCAGTGGCCAGCAGAGCGAGGCGGCAGGTCAAGCATCCCTGCATGGAGAGTGGGGCTGCCAGGGGTGCTCAGGACTAAAAGTAAAAGGGGAGGCAATCAGCACCTTTTATGGAGCATTTCCAAACACCAGAGGAACTGGCTGAGGTGGAAGTGCCTTCCACAGACCACGATAACCACTTCTGTTTCCCCAGACTGCTCAGTGCCCAACCGAGGCAGAAACACCATCTGGGGACAACAGTTGTAACACAGATACTGAGAAACTCCAAAGGAATCTCCTGTTTCTCCTCAGAGATTTAATGCTGTGAACCATGACAGAGCAGGGGAAAACACAGCAAAACGCAGCAGATCCAGCCTTGACCTCAGTGTGCAAAGTCTCTGGGCAGAATACAGAGAGACTGCATGTTGTTGGGAGGGGAAACAAGCTGGGGCCTACAAGCCAAAGGTGGTAACCTACGTCTCTGGAGGAGAGGATGCTAGTGCACAGGTCACCTGGTTGTTGAGCTCTTGCACTTCTCTTCTGTGGTCTGAATGGAGCTGCTCAGCCTGGCGAAGATCAGAAAGAAGCTGGGACATCTCATTGTGCTGGACGAGGCTGCTTTCTTCCAGGGTTCTGAGGCTCAGTTCCTTCTCTTCCAGAGACAGAGTCAGCCTAAAAGAGGGAGCATGCAAATCACTACTACATGGTGAAACATTTAATAAACTCTTAGGACTTTCACTACCAAAGGAAAAGGTCTGTCTGCTTGTTCAGCCCTAAGCCAGGTTGGCAGTCACACCCAAGTATGAGCCCAGTAGCTGTTTTCCACAGAAGACAGGTGAAGTACTGGCTAAACATATTTTTTGAGATGGAAATGTGAATATAAACATAACAAAGCCTGGAAAATAAGACATGAAGGAAGAAGACAATTTTTCTTTTGACTAACAAGACTCCAGGGTAGAGGTTTGGTCAATAATAAAGAGGTATTTTCTTCGTCTAGCTTGTGTGTCTGGGGAGGAACAGCAGCAATGACAGCAAGGTGATCTCTGGGAAGTGTCCTGAGTTTGGCTGGGATAGAGTTAATTCTCATCATGCTATATTCACTTTTCTGAATCTCTTCCCCATCCCACTGCAGGGGTCGAGGAGCGCGCGCTGCTTAGGTGCCAGCTAGGTTAAATCACGACAGGGATTTTCATAAGACTTGTCAGCACCCACGTTACTTTCAGCTAGAGAAACAAAGGCTGATACTTGAAGTGGTAACGGAGGCTTGGAGGAAATACTCAGAATCTTATACAAGACGCAGGATCCTTCACAGGGGAAGCAAGAGCACACTGCCTTTTATTTCTCTTCTTCAATGAAGATATGCGTTGAAGACTTGCAGGAATTTACCAGGTGAAGTAGCTTACCTACATCTTCTCCTCTTTCTTGCATTCCCTGGGCAGTCAGTAACATCCATAACTACTGCAGCTGGCAGAGACCCTCCCTCCAGACACTTGTTGGGATTTTTCGAGGAACAAGGAAACATACGGCTCTAAGAAACATTCTTGTTTCTCAGGTACCTCAGAGGGGAATCTGGCTTAGTTCAAAATCATGGTTTTAAGGCGGCTTCTGCCAACCAGAGGTATCAGGATGGGAGACTGATAGGGATCCCAAATGTTTAAAGCCTACTGGACCCAAAGTGGAGCTGATGGATCTATCCAGTTCATTATGCTGCAGCTCATCCTGTCCCCTTCAGTGTGTTTCAGGTTTGAAACTCCTGAAAGTTTCATTTAACAGTATAAACCCGCTGACCTAACAAAAGAACGCCCCCTTTTAAGGAAAGGACTACTCCAAAAGCCATTTTCTTCACACAAATGAAACTGAAGGATTAAAAGAAAGAAAATTAAACACAACATCAAGAGAATGAAACATATCTGCACCGATAGTTCCCAACTCTGCTTTTTAGGAAATGCTGCCAGAGCAAAGATCTGAAATGCTGTACGTGCAAAGATCTAAAGTGGGAATCCATTAAACAGAATGAAGCCTCATGGGCTTTTATTTACCTGGTCTTGTCACTCTCTAGGACCTTCAACAAAGCCTCTAATTCTGTGTTGTTACGCTCCACTTCTTCCCATTGACTCTTTTCCCGCTCCAAGGCCTGCAGACACACTTGCAGCTCCTTGTTCTGCTGTTCTACCTCCTCCTGTTGACTCCTCTTCTCCTCCAGGATCTTCTGGAGGTGCGCGACTTCCAGCATCTTCTGCCTGGACAGTTCCTGTGCTTCGCTCAGCTCTTGCTGAGCTTTGTGGCCCATCATTTGCTGGGACTCTTCGGAGGCTGCCAGCTGAGATGTCAATTCTGCCACCTCAATTAAAACGTAACAAAGCAGTTAAAGGCTACAGTTTGTCACTGTCGGCCATATCAGGTACTGTGAGGAAAGGGAGAGAAAAACTTTAAATTTCACCCTGTCATGAGAGTACCAGATTCTCAATGGATAGAGCCAGCTTGTTTAAAAATCTAAAGTGGGTCACCATGTTCATCTGAAAAAAAACACCTTAAAAAGCAAGGCCAGCGGTAACTGGGCAGCACAAATCCGTTCTGGGGATTGCTGGCAATCAGGCAAAAGGACTAGCCCGCCTATCCGGGGCAGCAGCTGAGATCCAGCTGACCGGTAAGTCTCCTTCAGACCAGCTCAGATGGAGACCACCGCAGGAGGGCAGTCAGAGGGATTACCCCAGCAGCCTGCTGCTCTGCAGTGCAAAGGCAAGAAGTGGGGAGATCACACGTCTGATGACTGGAGTAGCTATCGCTGTTTTAATCACCTGCGTTTGTAGAGCATCCCTCTGCTGAAGCAGGATATTCATTTCCTCTTTGATGGTTTTGAGTTCTTCCTTGTGCCCGTTCTCCAGTGCCTCCATCTTACTCTGAGTTTCCCGCAGCTCTACTTGCAGCTCTTCCCTGATGTTCTGTAAACACAAATGGAGAGTAAGTTACTGGGACCTGCCATCAGGTTCTGCTTTTTCCTTTTTTGTCTCAAAAATCACATTCATTCAGCCACTTGAGCTTTTCTACCCAGCTCTAATTTCACTGCAACCCTTCCTTCCTGTTGCTGATTTCTGGAGCTTACCAGGCTCTGCGCTTTCAGTGCTTTACCTCCTCAGTCCCCAGGACTTGGGCTCTATTTCCTTGTCACTGCCCTTCACTCTGTTACCTGGCTCTCTCAGCCTCTCTTTCCGCTTACGTCCGGTTGCCAGCGGCCTGTTCCTTCAACCTATCCCACTAATCAGACTTACCTGCCCATTCTCTTGCTGCTCTTCCATCTCCTGCTTGAGCTTCTCCAGCTGCTGGCAGGCTTCTCTTAGCTCTCCCTGAGTTTGGAGTAGCGTCTCTAATAAAGCCTTCTTCTCACTCTCCTTTTCTAGCAGGGCCTGCACAGAAATAAAACAAAGACAGGCTGAAACTTCCCATATAAAATTTGCAAGACTCACAGATGGATGGGCTCACACATTCCCAAAGCACTCTGCTGCCTGGGCATTATCTGCCCACTTGGAGACACGGCTTCCAGAGACTGACAGTACAGACACGGTCCATCCACGCTCCATTCATGCTGACTGAAACTCCAATGAACTCCCAGTCATCTAACAAGAAAATGTGTGGCATTTCTCAAGTGTCTCGCCTTGCTTGTCTTTTGCTGTGTCCTGTTTGTCTTTCAAAAGCGACTTTTGCACCTAGTGAGAAGTACAGAAAACACAAGGCTGCCAGAGGGCTGAAGCTAGCAGCATCTTTAGAAAAGTCATGTATCTAAGGTTGGTGAAAATTACTTGGTTTAAGGTAATCAGTAGACTTTACCAAAGCACTGACATTACAGGGACACGCTGTCATCTCTGAACGCTGCCCTGTCATCTCAATACCTGCACACAGCGCTGGGGGTCCTGCAGTCCCGATGACTTTTGGTAGGACACAAGAACTCTCAGCATATGACAGGGTTGCTTTGGCACAGGAGAGCTGGGCACAAAATAACTTACCAGCAAGTGACTTAAAACACAGCCCAGAAGACAGCTCTGCTTTACCGCTCAGAAATATTTCAGAGATTTTTCTTTTGTCAGCAATCCTGCTGTGCCCCTCACTATCCCTCCCAAACAAAAAAACCATCCATGGGGGGGATTCAGTCCTATAAACTCAATTTGGTCTTTAACGGAGTTAAAGCTATAATCACATATCAGTAAACACCAAAAGAGGATCCCTGACAGAACCGTGAAGATACTCTAAGTCTTTAAAAATAGGCAGGATACAAAAGCAGCACAAAAATCTACAACGAAAGGTGACATTTCTGCCTGGCTTGCTATGAGAGGTCTCAATACTAGTCCCAAAGATAGCCCTGTTCACCTTCCACCTCACCAAATTCAACGTAGAAAACATGCAGGGCATGCTCCACACAGTCTGACATCCAGCCAGCTCTCACAGTTCTAGCCTTGCAAAAAATCGAATTCTCCTTTCACTGTCTTTACCTCTTGCTTGGCATTTTCAGCTCTGGTTTGTTCCTCTTCTTGCTGAGCTTGCATGGCAGCAACTTTCTGCTTCATATCAGAGAGCCTCTTCTCGTGCTCCCCTTCCATCTCTGCCTTCTCTTTTTCCCATTGCTCCAGCATCTTCTGCAGCTCTGCACGGTGCCCTTCCCGCTCGCTTGCCTGACGAGGGGAAGAAAAGTCTTCGAGATGAAGTCCAGTCAAGCTCTCCCCAAAAAATATATGAAGTTTCATCCCTCCCACAATCACCCACCCGAACAGTGCACAGCAGTGGCTTTGTGCTCTCCATAAATCATGGAATAAATCAAGGAAGGTCAGCAGGTGGAAGAAAAGGAGATGCTACCTCCCCCTCTCTGATGGCTGCCTGTTTCCCAGCACCTCTCTCCTTGGGCTCTCTCTCTGTTCTCAGAGTTTTTATTTTCAAAGCTCAACTCCATTCTCTTCCAAGGAAAAGATGCAGATGGACTGCGTGGTGATAAAGAGGCCAGTACCCCAACGCCCTAGTCACAAAGCAGGCTACGAACCAAAGTTCCATGAACAAGGGGGCCCTTCCACGTGCTTAAAGCCCAAAAGTAACACCTCTGTCAGCTGCGAAAGGACAGAACAAAAGGAACAAAGTTCCCGTGACTGCCGCTGGCAGGAATGTTGGGAGTCTACTTCATGGTAGGCAGGTTAAGAGCCTACCCTGTGGAGACCACCCAACCTTCTCCTGAACTTGTCCTAGGCCCACGCTGGATCTGTGGCTGGCCCGCAGAGTCCTGTGGGTCTTCAGGTATGAGCCGCTGGCTCTGCTGCCTGGCCCAGCGATGGGTGGCCTGTGACAGATGATTGCTGCCCTTCCACGTATTCAGGCAGTTACTCGTCTAAAGCCTGCCCACAAAGCTTGTCTGAAGAATTCAGAAGCATATTGTGTCCTACCAGGTCTCGCAGGAGTTTGTTTCTTTCCTCTTCATGATCAGTTTCCTGAAGCCTGAGGGTACTGTCACACTGCTGCTCTGTCTGCAGGAGCTGCTGTGCCATGCTCTCCCGTTCCTGCCTCAGGAGAGATCTCTCTGCTTCCAGCTCACACTGAAGGCACTTCACTTCCCCTGCAAACACAACAAATGGCACAACTCAGAGGCTAGACAAAAATGGTTCTGCCTTTACTGACCTTAAGCCATTCGAATTTCAGTGTAGGAGGGATTTGCCTCCAGCTCCTTCTCTCCTCAGAGGCAGCGCAGACAGCCAGCTATTTTCATACCACCTTCCTAGGCAGGGGGATCACCAGGAGCAAAGCAAAGCTCTCACCTTGTACCACCTCCTTGGCCTGCGTGACTGCGTGAAGTTGGATTTCAAGCTGACTCCTGGCGATCTCCAGCTGAGACAAGTGCTGCTGAGCGTCAAACAGGCTGGATTCCAGGGTGTCCTTCACTGACCTGCAAGTTGTGCATACAGACAGAAAGTAGTTTCTCGCTCCTGACACCCACAGGGAGTTATTCCAGCAAGAAGTCGTTCAAGATCCCTACCCCTGAGCACAGAAAATTGCTTGCATGGAAGGTGATATACAGAAAGCATATTTCTGCCATTTAAAACTGCAATACAGGCCCCTCCGAGGGAATGCCCAGGCTTTCCTCATGCCCTACAGTAACACAGAAAGCCCAGTCAATTTTGATCTCAGCAGGGAAATCTTAAATTGCTGTTGTCTGATCTCTGACACACAGCTAGCTGTGCCCACAAAGTCTGTGCCAGCAGCAAAAGCCCAGCCCCTGCTCACAGCCTTGGCTCACGAGCACTTCCAAGCTGCTCTGCAAGGGACAGAACAAGTGTATTTTCCTGGCTCCGTTGTGACTTTTTCACGCTCTTCATAGTGTAGGTATAGGCAGATAATTTTCCAGGCTGCTTACATCTGAAAGGGACTAAAGAACTACTTCAGCTGATATAGTAAAATCTCGTGGTTGTAGCAGCATTTGTAAGAAATGCTTACAGGGGTGCAAACAGAAGAGCATCCTTCAGCAGAAAGAGGCGCCTGAGTGGTACAACAGTAATCACAGAATCATAGAATACCAGGTTGGAAGGGACCTCAAGGATCATCTAGTCCAACCCTTGAAGGTAAAGAAACACAGTTTAAATGAGATGGCCCGGCACCCTGTCAAGCTGAGCCTTAAAACTCTGAAATTGAGGAATCCACCACTTCCCTTGGAAGACTATTCCAATGACTAATTGCTCTCACGGTGAAAAATTTTCTTCTGGGAATAAAACGCACTACAGCAGGATCTCACTACTTCGGTGGACAATGGAGGGTGAATTTTCCAGAAGGAGAATAAGCACCTATTTCTGATTAAGCCAATCTCTGGCATTTTAAGGATAAATAGAAGTCAGTCTCTAAAACAGAACAGAAAAGATAGAGTCCAAAGCTGTGGCAACAAAAGGCTCTTGAGAACAACATCTGGAAAGAAGAGTTGCTGACTTTTCATTATATATTGCCAAAAAATTCTTCATAACTCGCTTGTACTTTAAAAAATAATTTATCCCTTAAAAAAACCCCTGAACATTTAGTAATTTAATAACAGCCCAATAATTGGCCAATAACAGCCCAATAATTGACCAAACATAATTCAGCTGGATCAACTAAAAGAAGCTGGAGCTCAGAAGCAGCAGCAGCTCTCAAGAATGGTCAAAATGGTGCTTCTCAGCCTTGAAAACACCATACCCTGGAGTGGTAAAGTGTAAAGCTCAAAAAGCACAACAATCAATCTCTAAAACATCACTTGTACAGCTCTGCAAGTTCAGAAGTCTTCTAAAAAACACCTAAAAGGAGGACAAACATCTCAATAGGTTTTTCTTTTTCTTTTTATATAGTTTTTGATCTTAGACACCTGATACAGCAGAAGCACAGAATCTTATTCCTTCCCTGTGTAAATTCTCCACGACACCTGTCTCTAAGCAGCATGTGATAAGGAGTGCAGGGTCTATCATCAATGACAGGCAAGGATCCCCAAAGACTGGCAAGAATTCAGAAGAAATTTCCCTGCTGCTGCTGTAACCAACTCTATATCCTGCACCAGGGGTAACAAGCGTCAAAACGAAAGGCCCTCAGGGTTCTGAGCATGAGCCTCTCACTTCACCACGAGCGGCAGTGTCCTGCTCACAATGTCTGCACGCAACAGCCTTGAATTCTGAAGGTCCCACATCAAATTACTTGGGAAGGGAAGATCTACATTCAAACACACAGAACAAGAAACCAAAACCAGAGAGAAACTTCAGGTTTCAGTAAAGGTCTCACGGTTCAACTATTACTCAATTCAGAGCCAAGTTGGCTTGCTTTGGACTTCGCGCAGGAACGTGCAAGGCGGCACAAACACGAGCTCGAGGTTCAGGAGAGCTTTGCCAGCTTTAGCTGTCACAAAAATAACTTGCAAATCATGGTACGCTTTTTATTTTTTGGCTCAAGATTCTTCCATTTTCTGCCTAAGGAGGGTGACAACATCTGAAAAGCACACAGTACGCAATAAATCCATGTGTAATGATCACCACCTTTATAACTTCAGGCATTTGATAATGCCCTACCTGGAGTCCCCTCCCTGCCTTTACCTGGCCTCTGCGAGCTGCTCTGCAAGCCCTTGTCTGTCCCGTTCCGTGGCTGCCAGTCGCACCTCCAGGGCAGCCTTCTCATGCGCCAGCAGCTCCTTCTCCTTGGTCACCTTGGCCAGCGCGTGCTCTTGGCGAGAGGACTCCTGCCGCAACTGCTCCAGATCGCTGCCAGCCGACTCCTGCTGGCGGTAAACCTGAAAGCGGGACAAAATACAGGGAGAGTCCCTTCTCTGGAGGTCTGTGCAGAGCCAGCCAGCAGCACTTCTGAACCAGCATGGGCCAAAAGAGCTCCTGGACTGCAGGTGGAAAGTTTAAGTGCATTTTCTGTGTGCTGCACTAATACCCCGGGCTGCCAAAAGGCACTGTTAGCTTGGAAGCAAAGTGTAAGGACCTGCTGGGTTGCCTGGGACTAGACAGCTCCTTCAGGGTATAGGTACATATCCCAGACTATGTGTTTTCATGCAAAAATATTGCATCTTCTAGAGCTGCCACATGGCAAACCGAAAATTCATCAGGATTTATTTGAGCACTGGAAATTTTCAGGAAAGGTTGAGCAAAAGAAACTTTGCCTGCTGAAGAACCGGAACGCATATATGGTTTCTCCTTCCAGAAAAAATAAAAATCAACGTGTCACCTATTCCAGTGTGTAAAGCAGCTGGATGCACTGAGGTGACGCTCAGCAGGAAAACTTGTGGTGAGCATTGTTATGGAGTCATGTATCAAAGTCTGGCTGAGGAGGCCAGAGAGATGGCAGGCTCTGTACAGAAACTCATGTCAGCTATACTGTTTACTTCTTTTACACAAAGAAGTTGTCTAATACACCTTGCTGATACTCAAGCTTGAAGATTAACCATGACTTTTTAGCTTTTTTCTTCAGTAAAATACCTCTGCCACGCATTTGCCAAATGCAGCGCTACTCCAAAACTACTGAGAGCAGACCACCAAAACCAAACAATTCTCTCCAAGTTACCTTGTAATACCTCAGATTATGCATTATGGAAGTGTCATTTAAATGGTGACAAACTCCCTGGTCTCTTCCAGCATTGGGATTCTCCACAAGCTCTTTCTCCAAGGTACTGAAATCAGTTAGTCCAAAGTAAAGAGTTCTGTGCAATCATCTATTTCTTCCTCAAAGCCTAAAGAGGCTTTGACAATTCATAGAATCGCTTGGGTTGGAAAAGACCTTTAAGATCGAGTCCAACTGCTAACCCAGCAGTGCCAGGCCCACCACTAACCCATGTCCCTGAGCACCACATCTACACAGCTTTTAAATCCCTACAGGGCTTGCCCGGGCAGCCTGTGCCAGGGCTTGACAGCCCTTTTGGTGAAGAAATTTTTCCTAATGTCCACTGGAGCAACTTGAGGATATTTCCTCTTGTCCAATCACTTGTCACTTGGGAGAAAAGACTGATCCCACCATGCTACAGCCTCCTGTCGGGGAGTTGTAGAGAGTGAGAAGGTCTCCTCTCAGTCTCCTCATCTCCAGCTGAACAACCTCAGGTCCCTCAGCCGCTCCTCATAAGACTTCTTCTCCAGACCCTTCCCCAGCTCCATTGCCCTTCTCTGGACACGCTCTAGCACCTCCTTCTTGTCCTGAGGACCCAAAACTAACATGGGGTTTGAGGTACAGCCTCGCCAATGCCAAGCCCAGGGGGGAAATCCCTGCTCTGGTCCTTCTGCTCGTACTGTTTGTGATCCAAGCCAGGATGCCCTTGGCCTTCTTGGCCACCCGGGCACGCTGCTGGCTCACCTTCAGGCACTGCTGCCCAACACCCCCAGGTCCTTTCTCACCAGGCAGCTTTCCAGGCACACAGGCGCATGCACATCTTAAAATACAATTTCAAAAATCTCAAGATGTCATCCTTAGTAACCCAAGACAGCAGACAGTGACTTGTGCCTTTGTTGGGCTTTCCATGCTCAAACAAAGGGCAGTTTTCAAGTTGTAGGCTTCACACTAAAAGCACAAATAGAAACATCCAGCCCTGATTTTTGCTTCAGACAAAGGATTCCAAACTACACCGTTCGGGTTTTTTGGCACATGTGAGAGTAGCAGCCCCACTCAGATTCACGGACAACACATCACCTCTTTGCAGCTTATCAAAAGCCAAAAAAACAGGCCAAACACAGATGGATTAAAAGAATCTGTAGAATGCACAGGACAACTCAGAGAAATGCAGAACTCTCTGAGAGACATCAACATTTTCCCAGAAAGAAGTAAGCAAAGCTTTCTAACCTCCAGCGCTACCAAGTGTCTCCTTGACAAAACCACAGCAGAAACCAACAGGTAAGGCCTCAGTGAGCCAAGGAGCCAAATGCCTGACCAGAAGCACCAGGTTTTTTGACTCACCTGATGGAGTTTCTCTTGGGTTTCTGTCTTCTCTTCTGCCAATAACCTCAGCTCTACCCGCAGCCCCTCCTGTTGCTCCTCTGCTTTCTTCAGCAGCTGCTCCAGGCGGGCTTTCTCTGCACTGAGCTCTGCATTTGTTCTTTCACACAGGTTCAGCTCCTCTTGGCTAGAGAACTTTGCTCTCTCCATCTCATCCACTTTACTTGAGAGAACTTCATTCTCTTGCTCCAGCTACAATCAGAGAGGCACAGAGGAAGTAAAACACAGTAAGATTTACTCTGTAGGAGGTTTGCCTTGCGCAGAAAAAAAGAGCCTTTCCATATTGAGTCAGTCATACTGTCTGAAGACAAGAAGACTGAGGAGAATCAGCAGCTGGAGACAAACATCTGGCGAGATCTTTGGCAACTCTGCTCACCTGCAGCAGAAGTTTGTTCAGCTGCACTTTATCCAGTGCAAGAGCTTCATTGATACCGCTCATGTTCGCTGTTGCAACATGCAGATCAGCTACTTCAGCACTCAGCTTATTCTGAGAGCCCGTCAACTCTGCTACTGACTGCTCTGCCTGGAGAAACAAAAAAACATCATGAAAACAAAGATGGGGAAACCCCTGACTTCAAGCAGCAACTCCACGACCCCTGTGTGTCTCTGAGGTACTCCCAGTTCAGCACTCCCAACGAGCATGTGGAAACTAAGGCACCAAAGAACCTGCGTCGTCTGATCAGTTTTTCAAGAAGGAGAATAATATTTTTTGCTGTCTTCTACTGCCAGAAACAGCATCTGTGGTGGTCTCGCTATCACAACTGCCACTCCCACCAGTGCTGCCTAGGAATAAGGTGACCGTACCTTCTCCAGCGCCACTGTAAGTTCATGTTTCTCTTGCTTCAGCAGATCCCTCTGAAGGTGCGATTGCTCCAGTGTCTCTCTCACAACTACCAACTCACTCTGTAATAATGAATGTTTTCCTTCGAGTGCAGCTAAATCCTTCAGTCTACAAGAACGGGAAAGAGAAACAATTTTTTAGTCTAAGAACATTCTAATTTCCAAAACCAGGAGTATATATCATTCCCCAGATAGGGCAGCTTGACTGATTTCTATTTACACCTAAAGAACGCTGGAATTTCCTCATTAGAGTTGCATCACTCTGTCACTGATGTAGGTGAAACATTCATAACTTAGAAAGTAAAACAAACTTCCAGAAATCACAAAACATTTGCAAAATGTTCAGGTGCTCTCAATAGCTTCCTGCCTGTTAGTTCTCTCTCTGCTTTTTGATCCAAAGTTCTTCTTCAGGCAAAGCAGAACCTTTAAGCCCAGATTACCATGCCCACAACTACTCTTGCCTCCAGCAGTGAAATTATGAAAGAGCCTGCTATCTGTTTGGGGAGGAGACATGTATGAATTTCCAATCCAATAACCACAGGACCACAAGATGGCAGGGACCACAGGAGGCCTCTAGCCCAACACTGAGCCCAAAGCAGCTGGGCTCAGCTGTGGGATCAGGCCAGGTTGCTCAGGGCTCTATCCAGCTGGGTCTTCCAAATTCCCAGGGACGGAATCTGCACAGCCTCTCTGAGCAACCTGGTCTGCTGCGTGATTGCCTTCATGGTTCAGTTTTTTGTTCTCCTTAAATAAAGCCTGAACCTCTCTTGTTTCATCTTATATCTGTCATCAACTCCTGTGGGTCTGGTTTGGAATGACTTCTAAAGGGTCAAAAGAAGGCACAAGGAGGCAGCTATGCTGGATGCCAGTAGGCAGCCAGACCTGCCCACGTGTTACGCTACAAATGATGAGCGCACAAAATTTCATCTATTCCTGAAGTCCAGCAATGCCCACCCCTGCCCACAGAAACCCTTCACGCTCACAGGAGCTCCTGGTCATGACGCACTCTCTCCATTGTCTGCTGCTGCTCCACCTTTTCCCCCTGGGCTGAATCTTCCTTCAGCCGCAGCTCAGTGTTACTCTGACGCAGACGGGAGGCGTCTCGCTCCATCACTTCAAGCTGTTGCTGTAGCTCTTCCCTGGTTTTCTCAAGGTTTGCACAGTCACTGCAGATACAAGGCTCGGTCAGAAAAATGAAGAGGCCTAAGTCATGGATCCCATTTTCATCATTCCCAGATGGAGCTGTGGGGAGCACAGTAAGGAAGAACTTTCTCTTCCCCTCACAAGGTAACTGAAGGGGGAAAAAGAAGGGCAGGCAGGCTTTTGCCTTCACTCAGTGAGATGCAGCGGCCAGGAAAGGACACCCAAAGAACAGAATTCAGAGAAGCAGCATGTCGAGAGGGAGGCGTCCTGTATTCCACCATCACTCTGAATCTCCCAGAGAGCCTTAGGATTCACAGCAGAGCACGAAAAGCAGTGACAGGAGGATACTGAAACGCCAGAGGCATACAGGCGGCAGGGCAGGCAAGTTCTTTGCCCCTAACACCTCTGAACTCCCAGAGCAGGAAGCAGATTGACTGTGGAGTGCAGAAGGGGGAAACACTCACCTTTTGAGTGCTTCTACCAGAGACTGGAGGTGCTGCTGGTGCGTGCTGGATGTCTTTAATTCCTCCTCCGCTTGCTGAAGCCTTTGCTGCAGCTTCCTGCACTTCTCCTCCTGCTGTCTGTGCTGATGCAGCAGGACACTGATGGAGTCCTGCCTGGCAGAAAGCTCTTCTCTTAGCACCTGCAAGGAATGGGCAGGGAAAG